TAAAAGCGTAATTTAGGCCACCGACATTTTGTTCTATACTTAGAACAAGTACGAGGTAGCGGATCGCAATCCGCTTACTCTAAGAGTAATTATTGCCTTACCCCAAGCTTATCTCTCCCGTTGAAAATCCAAAACTGATTTCTATCTGCGGCCAAACCGCCTAATTTTAAATGTATAGCTTTTCCTAATTATATATAGTATAGTCTAAATACATGGGCTTTCTAGCAAGGTGTGGTCACACCATGCCCATCTGGCGTGACACACACCAGTTACCAGGGTATGTGTAACCCCGTTACACAAAGTCTCAAGATTCCAAACTCAAATCGGAATTACAACATCCAAAAATTTTTGAACGGACTAACAACGTTGAATGAAAATGCCAATGAAAAAATGGGGTACAAGCTAAGTTCGTGGCAGGACAGGGCGTATCACTTAGATCTTCAACTTGGATAGACCAAGCAATCGTGCACTGGTATGAGGTCCAAGCTAGCAACTACTATCACCGGTTTGTGGGGCTGGAGGATCGATTTTAGGTGGATTCTAAAGTTCTTGAACGCAAAGCTCGACAACACTGATTAACTATATTTGCCGTTGTTGCTCATCCAGACAGCTCGAATGTGATTGTCGACACTGTCGAGAAATGCACTATGGTATAAGCCTAGTTGGTTTGCGATATAAGGTCTATTTGTCAAAATCTTAATTTAATTTAAGTTTTTAGGGGGATACAACTGCAACTTATTGACTCTAATTTGACGACCACTTGGTACGGGGACAGTGTTTAATTTAGAGAGGGTTTTAAATTAAACATGTTGGGACTGGGGGACAGTGTTTCATTTAGAAAGGGTTTTAAATCAAACAGGTTTAATTTAAACAAGTTCTACTGTATGGTGCCCAACTTGGGTCCATATCTTTTGTTCAATTTAGAGAGGGTTTAAATTAAACAGGTTTAATTTAGACAGGTTCTACAGTAACACCACAAATGGAACAACTTCTGTTTCTTGTATCTTGACCTTGATACGTATCAGAGTGGACAAAAGAAGCGCTTCAATCATCACATTCTTTGGCGCCAATCCCTCTGTGATTACAGCATCGATATAGTTAGGAAAGCAATTTTCAAGATTTTCCAACATCACATCGCGTGGGTCCACTTTAGGCTTCTTGGCCACGCTGCGCTCGGATGAAAGAAAACAATGCTAAATACTTGGGGTCCTCAAGAACTTGTCTCAAAATCTTCTCAGTATGAATCGAGTTTTGATGGAAAACGTGCTCTTCGTTGAAATTTAAGCGCTCAAACGCCTTTCATAACTTTTTTTGTGCAAAGTGTGTGGCAAACAGTACTATTGTAAATGACTTTGCCTGTTGTACATTTGTTACTGACTATACAAAGCACGACTCCTGGTAAGGAGATAGATTCAATATTGAAGTAGTATTAGTTCAAATAGTGGATGATGTCACATATATATTAGAACAAATAAGCTTGAGGTTACATGAGTGGTCTCGGATTTGCATACGAGCTGAACCTCTTTGCATCGTATATGCAAATATCAAAGTCGAGGCCATCTCTGTGTTAGGTGCCCGACAATCCCATTGCAGGCGAGGCTTGGGTGAGTAAGTGGATCATATGTAGTGGCAGACTGCAACTAGACAACATTCCGTCAATGGATCAATACTAAAACCCGTGCGGTCCGTCTGCTAATCAGCCTGTTTATACCATTTGTGGGTTTGTGTGATTTGTTTTCCGATCTGGACATGAAGCTTAAACGTTTTTTTGTTGTTGCCGCAGCTGAAGTTGATGTCGCAACATCAACTACAGGTATTTGCTCAATCAGACAGAGCCTTTAAAATGTGTCAGTGACATCTTACGTTTGCCATCTGAATACACAGTGTTTTGTTTGTATAATAAGCAATTAAAAATGCTACGGGACCAAAGACAGACTCCATATCCTCAAGCCAAGCTTCGAATTGAATTGACTGTGAGCCATTGATAACAGCGTCAACAATAGCCTTACACCGCGGTTCTTTTGGTTTTCACATGGCCTTAAACTCTGGTGTATAGTCCTTTGTACCACTTAAGCAAATATGCTCAAACATGCACGCTTGCCGTTCGAGATCGTCCATATTCTCTTGTGTATCACCACCGTGTTTGCTACTCCGTTAAGTACTGTAATCTCTACATATCTCGCTAATGTTCTGAGTATACACGGCTATGCCACGATACCGTAAGTCCATGTTCAAAGACTTTCTTTGTTCTCATGTGCACGTTTTTGGAAGCTTCCTTATCAATCGGTATATTTAGGACCCGCTTGATAACCTTGATTTGAAGCAAGGAATACTTAGAAAGACGTTTACACAGTACAGCAGTTGGATACAGTATCTCAAAAGTATATTGTGGGTATAACGATGAATACGTGGAAATAGGAGTACCGACCCTCAAGCTCAACATTGAGATCATTGTCAGGAGGGACATGCGAGGAGAAGTTTGATTACTGCATATTTTTAACCAAGCGAGCAGTCGGTGTGCGATCTTTATTAGACATAGAGATCTTACCTCTAAGTAACACTGTAGAATTATGAGATGGTGGTGGTTAGGTGCAGAAAATATAATCTGAGATCAGAAGCAACGCATTGAATGTTGATTATTGATTGCATTGGCATTGCTTTCATGGACAAGCGATATTCGTATGTAGGTTGCGCTTGACTTTGATCTCCATAGCTCGCTATGCACGCAGAGAAGAGCTTTACCCTTTGCATTATTCATAACATTTTATTAAGACGAAATAACCACGCACAATATAAGACTGCAAATATAACGTTGTGCTCACCTTATTAGAGTGTATCATATAGTATCATATAGCCACATTTTATCTAAAGCACGATGATTTAATGTATGCACAACAAAAGTAAAAATATTTCCTACATAACCTTACGTTCACGAACATCCAGCATATAAAGCACATCTTTGCGCAAAGTGCACTCGCTCTGTCTGGACGATTTGATGCAATATCTACCCCTGTATGAGATGGTGTGGATAGGATTATTCTCGCACTGATCTGACTCACCTTACTTTCCAATTTTCTCTCCACAACCCAAGCCGTTTACGAAACAATGAAGTTGTACCGAAGACTTTTCATAAGTGCCGCGTTATTTCTAGTCAGTGTTGACCTTGTTCACTCGATCGAAAAAGAACAGATGGCGTCAAGAGATCCGGTTCATCTCCGCACCAGACGTCTCGCCGATGGTGAAGAAAGAAACTATAACATACCGGAATACGTTTTACGAATAGGATTTCGTCCCCTTAAGCTGACGGCTAAGAAGGGTATATCGCTTCTTAAGGGAAAATTTCACGATATGCGAGCAAAAGCGAAAATTCAATCCATGACCACGAAACCAGAGACTCGGCAATTTTTCAGGCAGCTGAAGGAGGAAACGTGAGTAAATGGCACAGAGGTGTGCTATACTTAGGAGCGTAAAGGAGAGCCTTTAAGGCAGCAAACACCTCTGCTTTGTTGACTGCATATAAATATATGAAACAAATGCACGACGAGCATCAAACTGAGTGACAGCGAGCACCCGTTTTCATCTGGTACTTGTATTCAGTACGATAGAAGCCTCGTATGGGTCAATTAAATGAAAACAAAGCTTTGGAATCACATTAGAGTTAGGCAGTGAAGTGAAGGAAGATTAAATCGTTCCTTGTCTGATATGTGATCTGCTGTGCTTCTTGTGTCGTTCCCGCTGCTAAATTCAACCAGCACATCAAATACATAAAGCTCAACAGCATGACAAGTAATAATGGATGTAGCCTCATGGACGCATAGCACGATTTGTTCCAAG